TTTTTTTTTTTTTTTTTTTTTTTTTTTTTTTACGCAACTGTATGTTGTTAGCAATGAATTAGGCGTGGTAAAGAGTCAGAATTTCATCATGCTTGGCAAATTTTTAGGTAACATCAAGCTGGGTGGCATTGCAGATGCTCTGGAGGGTAGGCATTGAATTCAGAATGACCTTGATAAAGTGGGGAAATGGTCCAAAATTAAACAGAATGGATGTAGGAGAAATGTAGAGTCCTGCAGTGTGGCTCTTCCAACAGTAACGTCTCACAACTTCTATCCAAGACTTCATTTTTCTTGGTAGTATGTATCGTGGACTCCTGCTCTTCCCAACTTTTCAATCTTTTCCTTCAAGATAGACGCCTGCTTATACTTAATAGAGACAAAACTGTCTTGAACCTTTGGGAGGAACATGAACATGTCCCTTCTCACACAAAATAGAACTGTTTAGTCTCCCTTTATGCCTCATTTACTCCCAAGAGAACACCTAGGGGAAAAAAAAATGATTAGACTTGCTGCTTTTCTTGGGTGGAGCCTGTGTCCCTTAGCTGCTGCCAGGCTGCCTGCATGGGCTTCCTGCAGAGCCCCTGAGCTGCATGGAACCCTGTGCTTCGCTCCGCAGCTGTAGGGGCAGCAAACTTAAACTCCTCCGAAGAGTTTTAGTTTGCTGTGACCCAAGTTATGTAAGGCACATTATGCCACCGAATTTGCTACAGCGGCTGTAATTAATGCACAATATGCCACCGATGTATGCAAACACTGACACCATTAAAGCGGTGCAAAAACATTTAGCCTGCTTTAAAGTGTCGTGCACACACGCCCCTTGTTTAGTCTACACACGGCCTGAGAGTTCATTCTGGAGTGTGGTGCTGTTTAATTTGACCCGCATAGCTTCCATGATGGCATTTGATGCATTGGGTGAACTACATCGCATTTTGTAATCAGGGCCAGTCCAACCATTAGGCAAACTAGGCAGTCGCCTAGGGCGCCAAAATTTGGGGGACACCAAAATTATGTGCAGAACAAAACAGGAACATCATTCTAAATAACAGCCCTGGCCAGCTACAGCTCCACCTTGGTCTAAGACCTTTGGTTCAGTAAGGGGAGAAAGAGCTCTGAAAAGATCTTAGAGGAAAGATCGCTAGAATCACAACTCCTACCTTTTCCTCTCTATTAGAAGTGGTGGGGGCACTGAGGTATGAGGTCAGTGAGGGTTTAATTTTTTTAAATTTTGTACAGGGTACTCTATTTTCCTCAAAAACCAAATATACCTTTCCACCAAGAATCAAGCCTCCAAAATTGGAGCAGTGGAGAAACTGATTTCTCTTTGCTGGATTAGGAGCAGGGAGATGCTGTGCCCTAGCTGCCAAAATGGCTGCCACTCCCTTCTGGCTCAGCAAGAAGCAGAGGTGAGGTCCAGCATTAAAGAATTTGCTGTAGCCTTTCACTGAACACTGTAGTTTGTGCCTGAAGCACCAGATGAGCTGGCACAGGGCAAGTGAGCTGCTGCATGCAGCCTGGAGTATTGTGATGAAGCTTGTAGTATGGAAACAAGAATTTATTATTCACAGGAATTTATATGAACTATTTATAGTAAAGAAGCAACAATCTTGCTACTGTCCTTGCAAAAATATGGGGCCTAGCCTTGTTGCTGTCTTGCCACCCCTGGAAGTTCCTGCTGCTTCACACAGCTTGTCTCCTGAGATGCCACACTTCCTGGGTACTGCCATGTCACATAATCAGCCAAGACTCTGAAAGCCATTTTTTCCCTACTTTTCTGCCTTCCAAAAACAAGATGCATGTCTTATATTGGGGATGCAAAGGAACTAGACTACTGTTTGTGGTGGGGTTTGTGCAGATATGAACACAGTCAAAGCCCTGAGATAGTCATGACTTCTGGGCTGTAGGTTCTGAATCAGATTCGAAGGATCCAGGAATAAAATGTTATATCCAGTTGTCATATAGCTGAACCAGCGAATTCCTTCCATAGCAAAATCATTTTCTTGTATTGGCATTGACCCCATTTGTATTGGGAAATACCCAGGGTGTTTGTGTTGTTGGTGTCTATGTAACTTCAGGATGGGGGAGGTCAGAGGATATTAAAAGGAGAGACAGACGCTGGTGAGCTGACAGTCTCAGCACTTGGAGCTTGGGTGTGTGACGCTGCTAAAATGAAAGCTCTGATTTTTCTGGGGCTTTTCATCCTGCCTCTGGCTGCTAATGAGAAGATCTATAAAAGGTGCGAGCTGGCTGCAGTCATGAAAAATCTTGGGCTGGCTAACATTCCAGGATACACTTTGGGAGATTGTAAGTCTGCTGCCTTTTGATTTTAACATGGTTTATGGGGTGGAAGGACGTTGTTCCCTTTTCATAAATCCCAGGTAAGGTTATCTAGTCTGTCCCTCTCGCTTCTGCACTTAGCAGGCCTAAACTCAGTCTGGAAGCTTTTCCTTGTACCAGTCTAAGTTACTAGTTCTCCCAATTCTGCCCCACTGTTCACACTCCAATGCTCTGTTCAGCCCTCAGTTATTTCTTTCTATGCCTGATGTCTGCACCCTTCTTGCTTTCTGCTCTGTGAGCCTTACTGCAGCAGGACTGAAAGATGGTTCCATAGGAGTAAACAGGACAGAGTGTGGAGTGCGGCATGAGGCCATGGTGGGAGCCCTGTTAACAGGGGAAGTACAACCAGCAGTGGCTCAAAACCCTCATTTAGGTTGCGTGCAGTTTAGAGAGTATCATTAGAGGATGTGGGGTGGAGAAAGACACTAGAGTGCAGAGAGCAACAGGTGGAAAAGATTTGAAGAAAGCAAGCAAAAAAGACCAAAGAACTGGGAGTGTGGTGAGAAGTCGAAGGGAGAGGAGAACAAATCAAAGGGCATTTCTAATGAGTTTGGACTCCATAAAAGAAGGAGGCCTTTCTTCACTGATTATCAGTAGTAACAAGGAAACCATTAATAAACCAGTTTTAAGGGTGATGGACATGTGTTCCGATACAGAATCCAAGAAGTTTAACCTGCTTGCTGTCCATGCAGCTCTGTACATCTCAAACCAGAAATCCCTTCCTCTAACCAAAGAGATTTAGGTATATTTATGTTACATGGAGAAGGAATAGGAAAGTTAAGCATAAATAAGTAAGAGCTAAGCTCCCCATAAAGGTTTCTCACCAAATATTTTAATCAATGAAGTACAAGCATACTTTGGTCCTTTTTGCTTTCTTACTCCAAATCTTCTCCACTCCTTGCTCTCTATCACCTGAGAGTCTCCGGTGAGCCTTCTTGTCCAACCCACTTTCCCTAATTGTACTCTCTAAACTACACAAACTATATTTTATGATTCAAGAGACAGGTATGTGAAACAGTCTCTTTCAGTGTGCACCTTCATGCCTGTGGTCATGGTGCACTAGTAAGAGGAGGTCTCTTTGGCTTTGTTGACATGGGAGTATTTAGCAGTTTCCTATAATTGCACATCCATCCCTGGAAGCAAAGCTGAATATTGGTGTTTAAAATTGGAATTCCCTACTATTGACCCCGTCTGGTGAAAACGGGGGAATGCTCCATCTGACTATTATGACTTGTGCCCATTAAGACAAAAATATAGGTCCCAAATGTAGTTTTAGACATGTAGGGCCCACACTCCTCATATGGCATCCAAATATTTTATATGTTGGAATTGTTTTCTTGCATTCCTATTTAATACGATTATACATTTGATCAGAGCAGAGAGCAAACAAGACATGTATATATTCTGTATCAGTTATTTGCATAAATATAGAAAGGCGAGATGCATATTTTTATCCAATATTCAGCCTTTAAAGTGGCAGGAGCTATAATCAGGTAAATGTGGCAGCCTCTGTACTCATTTCTGTTTCAAATGGAACCTTGCCAGGGGTGTGTACAGCAAAATACGAGAGCAACTTTAACACGAGTGCAAAACACGGTAACTCTGATGGAAGCACGGATTATGGGATTTTGCAAATCAACAGCCGCTGGTGGTGCAAAGATGGCAAGACTCCAGGAACCAAGAATGCATGCGGAGTCCAGTGCACAGGTGAAGCTATAAAGGGCATATTCCTCTCTTTTATACTGGGGTGGGCCCCCAGGGCTGCAAATATATAACTGAGGGCCAGACAGTTGGGGACCTCAAAGCCCTACTTTAAAGACAAAACTAAAACCCTTATTCTTCATTCAAAGAGGAGGGATAGCAACTTATGGCCGTGCCCCGTGACAAATGGAAACACTCCTAAAGGACATTTTCTATTATTTTCTCCTAAAGAACACATGGATTTGTGTTCATTATTTTTTTTAGGTTTCTTTAGTAAACAACCCCCCCCCCCCAAAAAAACCCCCCAAAAAACCCAAAACCACACATCCTACTTCTCTGGAAGAGAGGCAGGTTTCACTTACCAGGTAACCCAGACTTGAGCAAGCGTTAACTGCTCTCAAGAGGGTGAAATTCACCCCTGGGCATAAGACCAATCCAGATGGCAGTTTCTGACCTAATCTTGTGAGATTTTACAAATAAATAATGTTTCTGCTTTAAGGAGATATTGGCCACGTTATTACAGTGGAGTCAGTCAGTCCTTGTGTGTATATACAAGTACTAAATGACTGCATGCTAACCTGAGTTACTGCACAGTCGTGCTGATGACTGGCTTCATTGCAACGCAGTAGCATCACATCATGGTTCCTGCCACACGGCCACTATACACTTGAAATTTTGTTCATTTAAAGAAAGAATTTAGAGGTATTTCAGTTGCCTGTTTGTATATCCAGTCTATTTTTGCTGTAGTTTATCAATATTTTTATGTCTTCTTTCCTGTGGTTGTGTGACAGTCTTATGCAAGCAACACAGAAAAATGGCTGACAGCGACTTCCCATCACCAACAGTTTATAAGAGGGAGGTCACCCCTCACTCACAAAGCCAGCCCAGAGCTTCTGGTCTCTTTTAATAGTTTTTACTTGGACTCATTCAGTACCTTTTCCACCCAAACCGCTGCCAAAAGACAGAAAATAGAACTTCTTTTCTGTTTATACTGGATTTCACAAGTTAGTGTTCTGCCAACTAGCACTACAAGTGTCAGACAAGCATGTCAGTTTAGTTAATGGCATGCCATTCTTTTATAATACTGGGTAACAACTGCTTTATAATAACTGTCTAGCAATCAACAAACACATTTTTAAGATGACAGTAAGACCAGGTTATCCTATGCTAGATTTGTATTTTCTCTCAGAAGCTAGAAAGAAAGGAACTTCAAAAAGATTGCACTAGATCAATCTGTTCGTCCGTCTAATCCAATATCCTTCTACCAGTAAGTGTATCTGGTACATGTTTCAAAGGCATAAGCAAAAAAAATGGAAGGAGTCAGTTATGGAATAATTGACCCATGAACTGAAGAGGATTTTGGAATTAAGACTAGATTGTGCAACAAAGATGACATCTGCCATTATTTGTTCTCTGTGGGCACATCTACATTAGATGCTTACTGCACATTAGCCTAATAACACTGCACAGTAGCGTGGTAGTCAAAAACCATGCTAAAAGCCTGCTGTCACAGGATGGGGTCCCCAAGGATGGTAGTGATACCCTAGGGCCCCTCGACCATGCCAATTTGGCCTGATGGGCACCCTCTTTTCTCATCTGCCACGTCTTGGTGTATTTATAATAAAACAGGGAGGCTGCCTTCAAGTCTAGTTGGAAACAGTCCCAATAGACCCCACTGAACCCATGGGTTCCCAGACCCCTTGTGGGTCCTGTGTCAAAATGGTTGTCTTGGGACACCCCTGGCCTTATGGGCGTGTCTCCAGACCACCCCTTCACCATGCCCCAAGCCTCACAGATGGTATTGACACAGCGTCCCCCCCAAGGCCTTGGTTTCACTTGGCCCTCAGGTCATCACAGAGCTCACCGCAGCCCTACCTCTCTCTGTGCCCACACTGGTGCTGAGCTGGCACTAGGGCCTGTTCACTCCCCACCAACACTGCACCCTCTCTGGCACCGGAGTCCCCATGCTGTAGTGGGCCCCCAAATAGGCCTTCTTCTTCCCCAGTAGCCTCAGCCTAAACCACCAGTGTTATAAGCAAAAATCAAAAATGCAAGGCAGTAGGCTACACCATAACTCAAGCCACACAGAGTGTGCTCTGTCCCTTAACATTACCAGGAGCAGAACTTACAGTCAGGCCTTTTCCCCTTTGCTTGCTCTAGGAGGGCTCCTTCCCCCTTGACTGCTGACAGAGAACTGCCTTCCTGGCCCCAGCCCTGGGGTTTATATATGTGCCAAGCCCTGCCCCTTCTGGTCAGCTGACCATTGGCAGGTGTGGGCCAATTATCTCATTCTGGCTGCCCTGGTAACCAGCAGCTGGGGCTCCCAACTGACTGCTAGGGCTCTCTTCCTAGCAGTTTCAGCTCTTAAAGGAGCAGGGCACTTTAGTGCTCTGCAACACCTACTGTGTAGTGTTATTAGGCTATTGTGAAGTAAACGTCACAAAATAACCGTGTCCAGGTGCTACTGTGTAGTAACTCTAGTTACTGCGCATTTAGTTAGTACTTCATTAAGCAAGTAGTAAACTAAATGTGCAGTAACTATAGCACATTAATGAATATATAAACACACCCAGAGTGTGTTATACCATATCCTCCACTCAGTGTTTATCTGGTCTGTTTAAATTACAAGCCCTTCAGGGCAGAAACTGCTAATCACTGTACACTCTAAGGCATAACAGGGCTCAATGTTCAGTTTGTCCTCACTCCCTACTATAACAAACATAATTAATAAATCTTAGCTAATTTGAGGATCAGTTTTAAGATTACTGAATCAAAAATGAAGGGGAAAATGTTGATTTTTTTTTCTTCCTACCACTCTTCTTATTTATTCATTTTTTAGAGTTACTGAAACCAGACATTAAGGCAACTGTTAAATGTGCGAAGAGGATTGTCAGAGATCCACAGGGCATGAACGCATGGTATGGTTTCAATTGTTGCAAGAATAACAGTTGCTTACAGTAATAGTCTTTGTACAATGCAGGGGGATGCTAATTAAAGGAAAAAGAATAAGAACTGGTTAGGGGTAAGTTGGTAGAGAAGCAACGTGCAGATTTTAAAGATCTCAGTGCTTATATGTTAACATTTGAATTCAGGACTTAAATCCTTAGCTACTATGAGTCAATATAGCTATAAATTAATGGATGTGTAAGCAGTCACAGTTGTAACTATAAAATACATCAAGACCATTTGAAACTTCAGCAGGATAGAGAAAAACTAATTTTCTGCTTCAAAAATCCCTAACTCTTGCACTGAAGAAAAATCTCTATTTGTCACTAGGGGTACCTGTACACGAGTGCAGAGCCTGCTCTGACATGTTGTAATTACATTGCATTGGAGCAGACTCAATTAATCAAGTCTACTGGAGCATGGTAATTACTGCGCTCCAGCAGCGTTCTGGGTCTCATGTATCGGCATCCCTGCATTTAAAAATGGCAACAGGGATGCTTTACTGAACGAGCTTTAGTTCAGGCTCCCCCTGCCACCGTTTTGAAGTGCAAGGATGCTGATACACAAGACACTGCAGGACCTTAATTAGAGTGGCTCTCAGAGGCATTGTAGTTAAAGTGCTGCCTCCCCCACCCCACAGAGCATGTTTAAATGTGCCTTAGCAGCATACAGCCTTGGGCATATTTTTATATGCAGTCCAATTTTAATTCTGTTGCAATTAGGGTTATAATACTGTGATGAGTTTTTACCACCTGCTTTAAACATCAGGCGAAGAATCCAAACTTCTTTAGTAGGAACAGCTGCTGGTCAATGAGCAAGGCAACCTTGGAACTGTGTGGCAGCCTTTTTGGAGGTGTTGATAATCTCAACCTGTATTTGACATGCACAGCTATACAGTCCAGTTGGCTTGCGGTGATTTAAGCAGGCTGTGTGCCATAGAGACCTAAAAAGCCAGGAATTGAGTGGTAGCAAATGACTTGTTCTATATGTTTAGCCCTTTGCAGAAAAGCACCTGCATACATTAAGATTATTGACTAAGTGCTGGGTTTGCCATTATCATTTAGCATAATTTTCCCTTCCACAGGGTGGCCTGGAAGAAATACTGCAAAGGAAAAGATGTCTCCAAGTGGATCAAGGGCTGCAAACTGTAAAAAAAAGAATTGGGGGCATAACTGAGCTCAGCTCCTTTTCAACAAGCAGTTTTTCACATAAAGCAAAATGCTCCCCCTCACTTGCTTCCATTTCTATAACAAAATAATAAATAAGCAAACCAAAAACAAACTCGTAAGAAAGGCTTATGGATTAATTGGCAGAATGCAAGTACTTTACTCTCTGCTGGTAAGACTGGATATTTCCATGTGACCGGCTGAACAGACCTATTTTGTGTTCAACCCCCTTTGAACACTGATTTCCTCTGTCATCTGCATGCATCATTTTTTTCAGTGAAGTTCTGCTGCAATTCTGTTTTGCTAATCACTACCAGTATGATACATTATCTGGTTTGATAGCTTAAATTCATAAATCAATAAATTCATTAATCAATACATTTGCATATGGCTTTGTGACTTATTGGTAAATATGCACAAGAGATTGAAGAGATTCTGAGATAGCACAATATAATGAGCTCAAGAACAGGACTTCATTAGTGAGTCTTAGATGCCATCTTTCTGGAGCATCTGGCAGTTTTATCTAACTTTGGTAGACAGTTGTACACTCAGAAATATCAGAAAAACACAATTTGAGGGGAGTTACAAGTTATGACTGTGAAGTAAATATATTAATATTATTTCTCTCACCATTTATGAAACCCGTACATTTAAAAGCTAGAGAATGAGCAGACTTCATATGTTTTATACTGCCTACATAATATACGTATGCATTAGTCCTTATTTCACAAAGTACTTATCATGTGAGTAGTTCCACTGAAGTCAATGAGGGAGCAAACAAGACTGAATTGGACTTTTGAGGCACTTATACACGTGATGGGGGTTTAATCCCTAAGGGCCCTTTTAGCAACTCAGCATATAGTTGCTAAAAATGTTCCTGGTTTAATTTTTCTTTCTTCATTTAAGACAGCTAAATAAGTAACATAGACATGATTTACCATGTAAGGGCTTATTATGTTATGACTACTAAAAAGCGCTAGAGGGCATGTCAGAATAATTTTACTCTCATGCCCTTTCAGTCCTACCTTACTGCCAGGTGGCACTTTAGGACAAGAAATGCCCAGTCATAGCACTTACGCCACTCTCTTTTCCTGGGTGGAAGTTGTATGGGGCGCTTGGGGGCTGAGGTGCGAAATCTTTCTGTGTAAAGCTAACCCCCAAACACAGGGCACTCGGGCGCGCTTTTTTGGCACCAGACATTTCCATGCAAAGCCCTGCAGGGCTCCCCAAGTGTACAAAAGCATCTCCCAAGGCTGGGTGAAAGGGGGGGGCACCCTTCAGGTGGCATGCTGTTTTCACAGGGCACTGGGTGTGGGGTACCATTCGGGCTACCCCAAGTGTGCTCAAAACATTGCCTCTCCCCTGGCTTTGGGGTCCCAAAGGGCATCACCCCCTGCCCTAGTCCAGTGCCCCTCGCTTTCCCTGGATGCAAGATGCACGGGGCACTTGGGCATTTTTTTTGGCCCCGAACCTTTCCATGCAAAACCCTGCATGATTTGGCGCAAAATTTTTGCATGCTTACTAACCCAATGCCAGACTGCCTGGGTTTTTTTTTAGACCAGAATGAGGAAGGTCGGGGGGGGTGTCGGACCCCTTGAGTGCCTATAAATTTGTGGAGCAGTGACTGACTGGAGTGCGTACACTGTAGTCTTTTGAGGTGGATGAGAGATGGCAGCGCACCAGAGGCACAAGGACTCAGCCTTGCGGGACACCTGCTCTTGGGTGGCACAGCAACTTTTCCATAAGAGTGCAGCCTGCTGCTTGCTGCTCATGTCAGGTGCAGTATTGCCTTTCAGTGCAGGATGAGGCAGCTTTTTGCAACACTTGAAATGAGGACACCCCAACCTATTTCACAATCAAATGAGACATTTACACATAGGTAAGTGAGAACAAACACTTGGCCGTGCCCTGAGGGAGGGTGGCTTGCATTGTTTACTTTATCTTTCATGTAAATGGAGTCTAATTGCCGTGAATGAAGTTGCTAGGTATCTGACACCATTCTGTAGTAGCAGGGCAATTTTCAAGGTGTGTGGGGGGGAACCTCCTCACTACCCTTCCTTGCCCCTCAGCTGTCTTTCTCCACCTCCCCTTGCCCCCGACTCGCTAGAAGAGAGCTACCCCCATTTCAGGGCTGGAATGACTGCACGGTGGTTTTACAGTACAATTTTTTATGCTCTTAACTTCTCCCTCCCTCCTATTTCTAATACCCAAATGCTACGCTTTATATTATGCTACTACCGTCAGGCGCAGCAGGCAGAAGAGAGGAACACAAGCCTGGGAAAGTCACCTGATACCACTTCCGTCTCCAGAAAAAAAGGACGGCAATGTCACTGCCAGGTGCCTATTCGATACTCTTAATATTCTTTTAGACTCCAAAAAAAGCCTATGGGAATTCACCATTAGCCTCTCTGCCTCGCTGTAGACAAGTCCTCGTATTATGTGAATACATGAGTAACTAAGTGTGCATTTTAAATAATCCCTTCATATATTAAAAATTAATATTTCTGTTTCATATATGAATATGCCAGTATTTACCAATGAATATCTTTTTTGTCCCTTTTTTGCCCTGCTTCCAGCTTTCTGTCCTTCCTCCTGCTGATTCTACGTGCCCCAGTCTGCAATGCAGTGTGCAAGATTTAAAAAAGCTAAAAACTTACAAAAGGTCAAGCTATTTCAAGCAGCTACTTACTGAAATATGCTTCATTAGCTCATTTCAAGGATCATGTATGTAATGTTCCTTTTTCTTTGTTTGTCTTTTCATGTAGCCCAGGTAATTATCCCAAGTAATTATGCTTTCCCCATGGCTGGTGGCCCCCCTCTGAGCACCCCTGGTTGGTGCTGGCCTGCATACCTCCCTTCAGTCTTGCTATAGTGCAGCTTCTTTAAGAGCGCCCATTCTAGCCTGTTCCCCCGTGGCGGGGGGCTGCCTCTCAGCACTCTTGGTTGGTGCTGGCCAATGTGCCCTCTTCTCTCACTACTGCTACAGTGCAGTTTTTCCAACAACTTGGAGCACTACTGCACAGTCCCTCCAAGCCTCTTAACCACTTGACTATCAGGTATTTATTTATTCTGACACACACACACGTGCACGCGAAGTGGTGCTGGCTCCTACCCTGGGGGTCTTTAAGGCCTACCTACCTTCCCCAATATCTGGGGGCTTCTTAGGCAAAATAGTCTTTCCACACACCTTCTCCCATGGCTGGGGGACTTCTTGGGGAAAATAGTCTTTCCCCTACCTTCTCCTATGTCTGGGGGGTTCTGGGACAAAATAGTCCTTCAGCACACCTTCCCTCATGGCTGGGGGGTTTCTGGGGCAAAATGGTCTTTCCCCCGCCTTCCCTGCCCCATGGCTAGGGGCTTTAGGCTTTAGCATTACAACATTCATGATTTCATTTTTCATTGTGTCTAGCACACTCTCTGCTATAATCAAAATATTACTGAAGTCTTCCTCCTGAAAAATCACAAAAAAAAATTTTTCAGCCAGTTTTTCGTTACCAAGGGCATCCCAGCTTCCCTACTCCATGGTGGGCCTTCTCATACAACCAAGCACCCACCCACACTCCGCCAGTCCTGTTGATGTAGTAATTCAAGCTGTGCAGCTTGTTCTGACTCAACTTCTCTAGATTATAGTGCATTAACATTCCTGGGAGCAGTCAGCAGTTGGCAAGCTCTCTCCCTGCCTCTTGCCTCCTGGCTGGGGCTCTGTCTGGGGAAAAAAACCCTCCTCTGGAGTTTTTTGTGATATAATATAATCTAACAGCTTTGTGATGTAATATTATTCTCTTCACAAATAAAAATGCTTTTCAGCTAGCTTCACCACTTGAATACCAACAGCTGCTTCCCCCATGGCTGGGGGACTCTCTCTTAGCGCTCCTGGTTGGTGCTGGCCTACATGCCCTCCCTTCCCTGGACAAGCCTTCCTAGCCTCTTCCCCCTGCTGCTTTCCCCATGTATGTAAAAAACATAATTGTCAATACTTGGACTTATAAAAACGTAATGCAAAAATGTAAATGTAAAAATGTAACTCATGGTTTATCTAAAGCCTCAATGGAAATAGTACTACATATATTTGTATGTAAAACAGAAAGAATCCTGTGTCTTCTCTCATTTGTATTATGTCAAACTGTAAGGAATTTCTGCAGTGGTTGGGCAGTGGTTGTTATCGAGGATCATCAAGATTCCTGGGTTACTGAGGATCTCCTTGCCCATGACAGCTGCCCCCAAGCAGTGTTGGGTGGCTGTGATCAGCCTACCCCAACTCACCCTCTTCCCTGTGATCAACACAAATCGCCAGCATGACCTAACACCTCCACTGAGGCAAAGAAAGAAAAAACTGCCCAGGCACAATGAATTTCCTCCCTTCCCTTGCCAATCACCATACACAATGGCCAGAATTGAGAGGCTGCACTGCGGGGAAAGGGCATAGTGGTTACCAGGCTATTGTCGAATCAATTAGTCTATTTGCATGTGACTCCTATTACAGTTTGCAGTCATATCCCCAAACCAGTTTTAGACCTGCTTCTCTTCTCAAGTTGCCTGCCACCACAAACCCATCCCCACTGCCACCCACTCAACGCACCCCCTCCCCTCCATCCTGCATTCCACACAGAGACCTCCATGAGACCCTGTTATGAACCCATTATACAAGACAACTTTTTTATAAAATGGACTTTATTCAATGGAAATCAATATGAAATGGAACATTAATGATAAAAAGGATCAATTCATACAATTACAGAGCACATTTGCCCTGCAGAGCAGCACCTATGTGTGCCGCCAGACAATTTCTGATCACAGCACCCCTCCCACTATTTGCCTGTATCTCTAGCCCCCCACACTCAACTGCTTCTCTGCTAGTGAAGGTCGTGGCTTGTGTCAGTTCTCTTAACTATTCTCTCCAAGCGTCACTGAAGACCTCACCCCTGGTTTCACAGATATTATGCAGGACGCATGCTGCCACTATGTAAGGGGTAATGTTATCAGCATCGACTTCTAGCCTGTAGTTGAGTGATCTCCAGTGGGCTTTCAAGCACCCAAATGCACACTCTATGCTAATGTGGCACTTGCTTAGCTGCTTGTTGAACAGCAATTTCTGT